TTGGTTAGTGTACATGATCAATGGTCAGGATATATTTGATTGATCCTGTTTAATTGGTTAGTATACATGATCAATGGTCGGGATATATTTGATTGATCAGGTGTAATTGGTCAGTGTACATGATCTATAGTCAGGATATATTTGATTGATCCTGTTTAATTTGTTAGTGTACATGATCTATGGTCGGGATATATTTGATTAATCCTGTTTGATTGGTCAGTGTACATGATCAATGGTCGGGATATATTTGATTGATCCTGTTTAGTTGGTTAGTGTACATGATAAGTGGTCAGGATATATTTTATTGATCCAGTTTAATTGGTTAGTGTCCATGATCAATGGTCGGGATATATTTGATTAATCCTGTTTAGTTGGTTAGTGTACATGATAAGTGGTCAGGATATATTTTNTAGCTTTATTTTAGATCACTTTTAAGGTTACAATTGTGAGTTTTATACCAGGTGAGCGATGCAGGCCCATTGGGCCTCTTGTTTATTTGATTGATCCTGTTTAGTTGGTCAGAGTACATGATCAATGGTCGGGATATATTTGATTGATCAGGTGTAATTGGTCAGTGTACATGACCTATGGTCAGGATATATTTGATTAATCCTGTTTAATTGGTTAGTGTACATGATCAATGGTCAGGATATATTTGATTGATCCTGTTTAATTGGTTAGTGTACATGATCAATGGTCGGGATATATTTGATAAATCCCGTTAAGTTGGTTAGTGTACATGATCAATGGTCAGGATATATTTGATTGATCCCATTTAATTGGTTATATAAGTGTACATGATCAATGGTCGGGATATATTTGATAAATCCCGTTAAGTTGGTTAGTGTAAATGATCAATGGTCAGGATATATTTGATTGATCCCGTTTAATTGGTTAGTGTACATGATCAATGATCAGGATATATTTGATTGATCAGGTGTAATTGGTCAGTGTACATGATCTATGGTCAGGATATATTTGATTGGTCAGGTGTAATTGGTTAGTGTACACAATCAATGGTCAGGATATATTTGATTGGTCAGGTTTAATTGGTCAGTGTTCATGATCTATGGTCAGGATATATTTGATTGATCCTGTTTAGTTGGTTAGTGTACATGATCAATGGTCGGGATATATTTGATTAATCCCGTTTAATTGGTTTGTGTACATGATCAATGGTCAGGATATATTTGATTGATCCCGTTTAGTTGGTCAGTGTACATGATCAATGGTCAGGATATATTTGATTGATTCTGTTTAGTTGTTATATTAGTTGGTTATATTAGTGTACATGATCAATGGTCGGGATATATTTGATTAATCCCGTTTAATTGGTTAGTGTACATGATCAATGGTCAGGATATATTTGATTGATCGCGTTTAGTTGGTCAGTGTACATGATCTATGGTCGGGATACATTTGATTAATCCCGTTTAATTGGTTTGTGTACATGATCAATGGTCAGGATATATTTGATTAATCCCGTTTAATTGGTTAGTGTACATGATCAATGGTCAGGATATATTTGATTGATCGCGTTTAATTGGTTAGTGTACAAGATCTATGGTCAGGAAATATTTGATTGATCAAGTTAAATTTTCTGTCTTCAGGATGAATACATGGATGCTCTTGCTAAACTTAATGCCACGGTGTCCAAAGCCCATCGTATCAATCCGGGCATCAAATTTGAAGTCTTCATCCATAAAGTTGATGGTCTGTCTGATGATCATAAGATTGAAGCCCAGCGGGACATCCATCATAGGGCATCCGACAACCTAGCAGAGGAGGGGCTGGAAAATCTACATCTAAGGTACACTGTTTATATATGGTCCTCACAGGGTACCTGATAACCTAGCAGAGGAGGGGCTGGAAAATCTGCATCTAAGGTACACTGTTTATACATGGTCCTCACAGGGTATCTGATAACCTAGCAGAGGAGGGGCTTGAAAATCTGCATCTAAGGTACACTGTTTATACATGGTCCTCACAGGGTATCTGATAACCTAGCAGAGGAGGGGCTTGAAAATCTGCATCTAAGGTACACTGTTTATATATGGTCCTCACAGGGTACCTGATAACCTAGCAGAGGAGGGACTAGAAAATCTGCATCTAAGGTACACTGTTTATACATGGGCCTCACAGGGTACCTGATAACCTAGCGTAGGAGGGGCTGGAAAATACGCATCTAAGGTACACTGATTATATATGGTCCTCACAGAGAACCTGATAACCTAGCAGGGGAGGGGCTGGAAAATCTACATGTAAGGTACACTGTTTACATATGGTCCTCACAGGGTACGTGATAACCTAGCAGAGGAGGGTCTGGAAAATCTACATCTAAGGTACACTGCTTATATATGGTCCTCACAGAGAACCTGATAACCTAGCAGGGGAGGGGCTGGAAAATCTCGATCTAAGGTACACTGTTTACATATGGTCCTCACAGGGTATCTGATAGCCTAGCAGAGGAGGGGCTTTAAAATCTGCATCTAAGGGACACTGTGTATACATGGTCCTCACAGGGAATCTGATAACCTAGCAGAGGAGGGGCTGAAAAATCTGCATCTACGGTACACTGTTTATACATCGTCCTCACAGGGTACCTTATAACCTAGCAGAGGAGAGGCTTGAAAATCTGCATCGAAGGTACACTGTTTATACATGATCCTCACAGGGTACCTGAGAACCTAGCAGAGGAGGGTCTGGAAAATCTACATCTAAGGGACACTGTTTATATATGGCCCTCACAGGGTACCTGATAAACTAGCTGAGGAGGGGCTAGAAAATCTGTATCTAAGGTACACTATTTATATATGGTCCTCATCGGGTACCCGACAACCTAGCAGAGGAGGGGATAGAAAATCTGTATCTAAGGTACACTTTTTATATATGGTCATCACAGGGTACCTGATATCCTAGCAGAGGAGTGGCTAGAAAATCTGTATCTAAGGTACACTTTTTATATATGGTCATCACAGGGTACCTGATATCCTAGCAGAGGAGTGGCTAGAAAATCTGTATCTAAGGTATACTGTTTTTATATGGTCCTCACAGGGTATCTGATAGCCTAGCAGAGGAGGGGCTGGAAAATCTACATCTAAGGGACACTGTGTATACATGGTCCTCACAGGGAACCTGATAACCTAGCAGGGGAGGGGCTGGAAAATCTACATGTAAGGTACACTGTTTACATATGGTCCTCACAGGGTAACTGATAACCTATCAGAGGAGGGGCTAGAAAATCTACATCTAAGGTACACTATTTATATATCGTCCTCACAGGGTACCTTATAACCTAGCAGAGGAGGGGATAGAAAATCTGTATCTAAGGTATAGGGTACCTGATAACCTAGCGTAGGAGGGGCTGGAAAATCTGTATTTAAGGTAAACTGTTCAGAGTTTTCACTTCTCATTCTGCAAAAAGCATTGTAATTTCTTTATATTAGGTTCATGTAATGGCAACTCTCCCCCCCCCCCCCTCAATTGTATTTTAAATAAAAGATAAAATAAAAAAAACATATACAGGTACCTGATAACCTAGCTGAGGAGGTGCTTGAAAATCTGCATCGAAGGTACACTGTTTATACATGGGCCTCACAGGGTACCTGATAAACTAGCTGAGGAGGGGCTAGAAAATCTGTATTTAAGGTACACTGTTTATACATGGGCCTCACAGGGTACCTGAGAACCTAGCAGAGGAGGGGATAGAAAATCTGTATCTAAGGTATACTGTTTATATATGGTCCTCACAGAGAACCTGATAACCTAGCCGAGGAGGGGCTGGAAAATCTGCATCTAAGGTACGCTGTTTATACATGGTCCTCACAGGGTATCTGATAGCCTAGCAGAGGAGGGGCTTGAAAATCTACATCTAAGGTACACTATTTATATATGGTCATCACAGGGTACCTGATAGCCTAGCTGAGGAGGGGCTTGAAAATCTGGATCTAAGGTACACTGTTTATACATCGTCCTCACAGGGTACCTTATAACCTAGCAGAGGAGGGGATAGAAAATCTGTATCTAAGGTACACTATTTATATATGGTCCTCATCGGGTACCCGACAACCTAGCAGAGGAGGGGCTGAAAAATCTGCATCTAAGGTCCACTGTTTATATATGGTCCCCACAGGGTACCTGATAAACTAGCTGAGGAGGGGCTAGAAAATCTACATCTAAGGGACACTGTGTATACATGGTCCTCACAGGGTATCTGATAGCCTAGCAGAGGAGGGGCTGAAAAATCTGCATCTACGGTACACTGTTTATACATGGGCCTCACAGGGTACCTAATAACCTAGCTGAGGAGGTGCTTGAAAATCTGCATCGAAGGTACACTGTTTATACATGATCCTCACAGGGTACCTGAGAACCTAGCAGAGGAGGGGCTTGAAAATCTACATCTAAGGTACACTATTTAGTATCTGATAACCTAGCTGAGGAGGGGCTGGAAAATCTGTATTTAAGGTAAACTGTTCAGAGTTTTCACTTCTCATTCTGCAAAAAGCATTGTAAGTTCTTTATATTAGGCTCATGTAATGGCAACCCTCCCCCCCCCCCCCCCCCCTCAATTGTATTTTAAATAAAAGATAAAATAAAAAAAACATATACAGTTTGCTTTAGCAGAACCCTGACTATGGTAGTATGATTGCCTAAAGTAAGTATTAGAAGGTGTAATATCTCTGCTTTATGTAAGTATGAGAAGCAAGGTCATTTTATGTTAAATTCCATGGTGGGTTAGGGGGTACATAATGTGTGTGAAGTCAAGGTCAATGTTGCTGAAGTATAAGTTAACATATTAATAAGTTTAAGTTTGATACCAAGGTAATTACATAATCTGTTTTAAATCAAAGTTATAACATAGGTTTACATAAAATGTGTAGCCATGGTAGTCACATAATGTGTTTGAAAGGTTATTTTAAATATATATAATTTTAAATGCCACATGTAATTCCTTCTTTTTTTCAGTTTTTATTTAACAAGTATATACGACCACTCCATATTTGAGGCATTTAGCAAAGTGGTGCAGAAATTGATTCCCCAGCTTCCTGTTATGGAGAACCTATTAAATATACTGATTTCTGTAAGTATTCCCTAGTGCTCCCAGTAATGAAAGCGCCGAAATCTCGGAAATAAAGTAGTCCCCCGTTATACCGCCACCTTTTGTCCCGTGCCTACTTTGGTGATACAACAGGGTTTCAGTAGGACAGCCAGTTGTAGGACACATGTGCCTGAGATGAACATCTATTTGTAACAAACAATGCATAAACATACACATGTATTTATTTTGAAATGAATGCAAACACGTAATATATATCATTTGCAGCTTTTAAACAATATAAGTTAATAAACAAAAAAAAAATCATTTGTGCAATTCACCGACTTGAAAACACAAACCGGGATGCAGAGTACGGACACGTTTTGTCGTTACGTGTTTTGATCAGGGGCGTCTCCTACATGTACCTGAGTGGACTGTTTTGTGGGAACCATTTTTTTCTGTCGGTGTATTCAAACATTTAATGTCATGTTTCGTTGTGTCGTGTATTGATTTGTAAAATTATCAAGTTTACGTGACAGTGGTAATTGAAATCTGAATTGACCGTCATGATGGAAACTTCCGTCTCTCTTCCGATATAGGTGAGAATTCATTCTATCTATGGGTGTCATGACCAAAAATGGAAAATGTAGTAAATATAGCGGCACAAGTAGCAATACCATATTTGGTGATGCAGGCCATATAAAGTAACGGGAGTTGAGAAAACATCACACATGACTGGCGTGGCGGTAGTTGTTTGATTTCAGTACAGTTTAGTTACTTCAACGATCATGCATTATTTGCTAACATTATACTCATGTTAGGCGTTAGTTATAAGTAATCTTACAAATTGAACACCCATTATTTTACTCAATCCGCCAGTATCGGATCGATTTGTATCTCTGGAAACGTATAACAAACCGTCTCGTTGTCAAAACCTCTGTTTCGCAGTGTGCTCATAGCAGTAAAATTACGAAAATGAAATTTGAAATGTACAAACAACAACCACAAAACACATAAAAACATTTGAGGTGAGTAGTTTGTACAGAGTAACTCTCACGTTTACCTTTACAGGTGGATTATACACGCATGACTAAATCATTACCGTATTTTACCGCAAATAAGCCCCCCCCCCTACTGAGAAAAAAGATGGGCCAAAAGTTGGGAGGGGGCTTAATTGCGAGCAACCCCCCCTTGTTCACAAATGTCCGCCATCTTGGATATATACCACTGTTTTGATTTATGACCACACTAAATATCATGTACTTATCCACTGTAGTTGTTCTTGTTGTAAAATGTAAAAATAACAACTAACAGACAGAATATTTTAGTCTCCAAAAGTTGATGGTGCTGTTGTTTTTCTTAACTTATTTTTTATCATCAATTTGTCTCGATAATTCAATTTTATCAAACACTATTTTTATATTTTTTTTATTGATCATGTACTTATCCACTGTAGTTGTTCTTGTTGTAAAAATAACAACTAACAGACAGAATTTTTATAACAGTCACCAAAAGTTGATGGTGCTATTGTTTTTCTTAACTTATTTTTTATCATCAATTTGTCTCAATAATTCAATTTTATCAAACACCATTATTATATTTTTTTTATTGATAAGTCAATCGGTAATCGTTAAGACACAGTACCAACATTCAGAGGTGTAAAAAAAAAAAAGCTGATTAGCACGATGACCAGGCTCTCAGGTGTTTGGTTATATTAGCGCCATTACATTATTTGAATATATACCGTACTATGAAGAAATTTGGCTAACAAGGCTGAATTAACACAAAACCATTGTCTTAATCATACAAAAACAACACAACAACTTATATGTATGCATGTTGACACTGTATTGGTTGATACAAATTTCAGAATGGCAATATGAACGAACTGACCTTGTCAGAAAGATTTGATATGAAAAACAATTATCAATTTGAAAACGATTTTACCTCTCTGTTACAACTCATAGATGTATTTTAAAATGTATTCATAATTTGCTACTTCAGTACAAACTATAGATATAATGGATTTGGTACAAGCAACATGTTTCATTTTACATTGAAATCTGCAAAATACACAACCGGTTAAAAGATGAAAGCATGGTGTTCTTTTAGCAACAGAATGATGTTTTGTTTTAAGTTAAGCCATCTCGATATCTTGATATTTTGTTATGTTTACATCATATTCCAAAATCATGTGTTACAATTTTCACTTAATTCACTCATGGATACATAATTCTTTATATAAAAAACACAATACAGAATCACAGTACTCAGTAAAGAGTACATGTCACTACATGCTATTTACTATTGTGCCTAATTCAGAAACAAAGTTATTGGGTTTATGTTTTTTTGCATCCATTTAGCTAATTTGCTTATGTCAGAGACAAAAATTGACATACATTATTTTTTGAGATGGAGACAAAATTAGGGAACGGGCTTAATTGCAGGCACCCACTCTGTTCCCAGGACATTTACCAAAGTGGGGAGGGGGCTTATTTGCGAGAGGGGGCTTATTTGCGGTAAAATACGGTAATGATAATATTTAATTGACCAATTATGAAACCAAAACGTAAATAATGGCAGTATTGTCGGCGGATAAAACAGCTTTGTAATTGAAATCTGTTGGCGGATGGCGATATGCGGGGGATGGCGGTATTAACGGGGGTTTATATAGTGTGGAAATCTGTTCCATGGGAAAACTTGGCGATGTGCAGGGTTGGTATTATAATGGGGGGGGGCATTATACCGGGGGATTACTGTATCTCATCAAAAAATTATGTGTTGATAAATCTAGGCAGGAGACTGATATATAATTTATAAAGAGTAATCTTAACAGGTGACCATATAAAAGAATCCCTTGTATAAACAATATTGTTTGATGCGATAGTTAAATTTATGTTACCAGGCAATGATTGCTCGTCTGTGTTTGTTAAGTAACAGAATTCTAATATTGAGAAGGCATTCTTGTTTGATGTGATCTCCAAATGTATACTGCCAATAATAGTCCCTCCTTGTTTTTTTTACAGAATTCTGGAATTGAGAAGGCGTTCTTGTTTGATGTGATAAGTAAAATCTACATTGCCACTGATAGTTCTCCAGTGGACATGCAGACATATGAAATCTGCTGTGACATGATTGATGTAGTGATAGACATGTCCCATATATACGGGTAAGTAATACACTATCTGGCCATAGAGAAATTGTCAGATTATAGACATAAGTTAAATTCTAGGATTAAATATCTGCTTACGTACTGGGTAGACAACATTTAGTAGTGATCTACATCCATTGGTGATAGTTCATTCTGTTTATGGGGCAGGGTGTGTATAATACTATAATGCTGTTCAGTAATGTAATGGAAAAAAACAATTTTCATGTCATATGCCATCCTCAAAATGTCAGGGGTTAGGCTCACTTACGTTCTCTGCATCCCTGGTGTATATCACGACAAAGTCTCTTGACGTGCGACCTTGTGGAGGATACAAACAGACTAGTTTGACTCGTTGATGTACATCTGAGGAGATGTATGGCAGTGTAACCGTAAAACTTCACGGGTGTCACTTCACAGGACAGGTATCAGCTGAGCGATCGGTCAGGGTTTTAGCTCACCTGGTCAGAAGGGCCAGTTAGATTATACAGTGGCACAGTGCCATCGTCTATCCACCCATCAACTTTTCATTTAAAAGGTGAATAATCCTGAATAGTTGATTTTGACTTATTTTGACATGGGTATCCTTGGGTAAGGATGTGACCCTGCTTGGGGTAGAGGGGCGGGGCCTAATAAGGGAGATTGGGGTAAATCTTTAAAATCCCTCTCCTTCAGTACAATTGGAGGGATTTTAATGAAATTTGTTGAAATTGTTCTGAATCATCCCGAGCCTGTGCAAGTGGGACTCAAATTTGTAAAGACAGAGGGCAGGACCAAAGCGGACACATAATGCTAAATGTTTAAAACCTTCTTCAGCTGTACAAATGGAGGAATTTTAACCGAATCTATTCCAGAGCATACCTGTGCAAGGTGGACTTTATTTTGTTTAACCTAATTTAGTGTTGAGCATCCTTGGGCTCATTTAAAGGGGACTCATATATATATATATATATGGAGGGTGTGGCCCCCTCATGGGTAGAGGGGCTGGTTCCAATAAGGCAAACAGGTATAAATCTTTAAAGTCCTTCTTCTCTATGAATGGAGAGATTTTAATCAAATCTTGTGTAAAGTCTCTCTTGCAAAGGGGACTCAATTTTGTGTACAATGGAGAGTGTTCCCCCACAGGGGGGCAGAGAAGTGGGGCTCAACAGGGGAATGTGGGGATATCTAAATGTTTAAAATCCTTCTCCTTCCATATGAAAGGAGGGATTTTAACTTAACTTGGTTTGTAGCATCCTTGGGCAAAGTGGAATCAATTTTGTATAAAAGAGGATGTGTTTTCCCTTAGAGCAGAGGGACAGGGCCCAAAAGGTGAAATTTTGGTATTAAATGGTTAAAATCCACCACCACCCCTCTTCATAGGGGCAGAAAGAGGGGATGCAATGCGGGATTAGAGACAGAGCCAATATTTAGAAATAGTTGTTGTATTTACTATTTATTTTCAATATTTTAATGAGAATATTTTGCCATGGTTTCTTAATTATCCAGGTGAGGTGAGTGATACAGGTCCTCTAGGCTTTTTGTTTTTACCTGAAACCAATCATATGACTAAATGTGTGCCTTCAGTTTTCTCTTGCTATATTTGAGGGGTAGAACATAATTGAGCATAATCTCTGGTTACATGCCAATTTTGTTGTGAACTTTTAGAGACATTTGATAAATAATTGGTGGCTCAGAGACTATTATACAATACAAGCATTAATGTATAAATAGGCATGTATATACACATAGATTGTAAACATACGTTCAGGTCAAGGCACAACAAAAATTCTAAATTTATCATGGCAATGAAATATTTGTCAATTGTTTGTCAACAGGGTAAAAGATGATGCAGCATTTGACACCAAGTCAGCATCAATCATTAAACTGAATAATGGGACAGTGATGTACCTAAGGGAAGTAAACCGGTATCTGGCGCTGGTCTGCATCATGAGGGAGGACAGCTTTGAGAAACAAGGTAGGTAGCACAAAAGGTGAACATTTTGTACCTTGTGTAGGCGTGGGACATCAGGGAGGAGTGCTTTGAGAAGCAAGATAGGTAGCACAAAAGGTGAACATTTTGTACCTTGTGTAGGCATGGGAAATCAGGGAGGAGTGCTTTGTCAAACATGGTAGGTAGCACAAAAGGTGAACATTTTGTACCTTGTGTAGGCCTGGGACATCAGGGAGGAGTGCTTTGTCAAACATGGTAGGTAGCACAAAAGGTGAACATTTTGTACCTTGTGTAGGCCTGGGACATCAGGGAGGAGTGCTTTGTCAAACATGGTACAGTTGAATATATGTTAAAAGACCACTCAAGGGAAAATTCAAAACCAGTCGTTCAATGAAAGTGGTTGTTTAATCAAGTTGACCATACTTTTACCACCCCAAGAAAATACTCACACAGTTATGCATTTTTATGTAGTTTGAAAAAACATCGTTCAATAGATCAGGTGAATAATTGAACACTAGTCAAATGATAATTGTAACCATATAAAAACAAATGAGTGTATTAGAAGAATTGTTATTTCACTCGGAGCAAAATATTGCTCCAGACTGGTTCAAGTTTTGTCAAAGTCAAAGTGGATATATTTGTGAGGTAAATTTGTTTAACATAAAATTAATGTTCAAATTAAGAATATGGTGTGTATTTTGTCTTTGATTTTTCAGAGATTTATATTGTTAGACGTGGTATTAGATCTGATCTTCACTTTTGACAATAACACTGATATATCTACTGTTGACAATAACACTGATATATCCGTACTGTTGACAATACCACTGATATATCTGTACTGTTGACTATAAAACTGATTCTGATGTATTTGTACTGTTGACAATAACACTGATATATCTGTACTGTTGACAATAACACTGATATATCTGTACTGTTGACAATACCACTGATATATCTGTACTGTTGACTATAACACTGATTCTGATGTATCTGTACTGTTGACAATAACACTGATATATCTGTACTTTTGACAATAACACTGATATATCTGTACTGTTGACAATAAAACTGATATATCTGTACTGTTGACAATAACACTGATATATACTGTTGACAATAACACTGATATATCTGTACTTTTGACAATAACACTGATATATTTGTACTGTTGACAATAACACTGATATATATGTACTGTTGTCAATAACACTGATATATCTGTACTGGTGACAATAACACTGATATATCTGTACTGTTGTCAATAACACTGATATATCTGTCCTGTTGACAATAACACTGATATATCTGTACCTTTGACAATAACACTGATATATCTGTACTTTTGATAATAACACTGATATATCTGTACTGTTGACTATAACACTGATTCTGATGTATCTGTACTGTTGACAATACCACTGATATATCTGGACTGTTGACAATAACACTGATATATCTGTACCTTTGACAATAACACTGATATATCTGTACTTTTGACAATAATACTGATATATCTGTACTTTTGACAATAACACTGATATATCTGTACTGTTGTCAATAACACTGATATATCTGTACTGGTGACAATAACACTGATATATCTGTACTGTTGTCAATAAAACTGATATATCTGTACTGTTGACAATACCACTGATATATCTGGACTGTTGACAATAACACTGATATATCTGTACTTTTGACAATAATACTGATATATCTGTACTTTTGACAATAACACTGATATATTTGTACTGTTGACAATAACACTGATATATATGTACTGTTGTCAATAACACTGATATATCTGTACTGGTGACAATAACACTGATATATCTGTACTGTTGTCAATAACACTGATATATCTGTACTGGTGACAATAACACTGATATATCTGTACTGTTGTCAATAACACTGATATATCTGTCCTGTTGACAATAACACTGATATATCTGTACTGTTGACTATAACACTGATACTGATGTATCTAATTATTCTGTAGAATATATCAGTGCTGTTTGTCCCAGAAAGGCTAAGATACACACAGTTCACTAAAACTGTATTATAGAAAAAATGTCTCTCTTTATAGGTGTGATAGACTACAACTTCTTGTGTTTCCGCCAAGCTATCCAGGATGTGTTTGAGGTCAAACCATGTTCAGGACACGCTTCAATGGCTTTGACCTCCTCAAGTGACTTTCCACAAGCAAACGGTGCCATAAAGTGATCTGCATGATCGGATTTTGATTTCTGTGTTTTATGTACAATACATGGAGGGGTACGCGATCATGACAAGATTGTGGCCAAGCAAGCAGGAACAGTCAGTCAGGGTCAGAGTTTTAATAATGAGGGTTGAATTGATTGCTAATTAAGTGCTTTATATAAAGTGTGTTATTTTTTGTGATCATTCTGGGGGTTGATTATGACCCTGTATGACTGATATTTATTTTACTGATTATATAATCCTGGTATGAGAAATGATAATTCAGAGCCAGTTATTCATAATCATGGTCAAATTTTATTACAAACAATCCTTATGATCAGAGTAAGTATGAGTGATCTTTGTGATGACAGTATGAATGATTGTAATTATCACAGGAAGTACCTGTTTGAGGGTTCATTGTGATCGGAAAAATTGTATAGGTGATCTTACAAATGAGAGTTAGTACAGGGGATCTTTATGATCACTTTTAGTATGGACGATATGTATGATTATGATAAGTATGGAAAATATTTACACCGCTGCAGTCAAATATGCATCAGTTTTCATCCTATTTACCTCAAAGTGTGACCCCTATATTTTCTGAGTGGCTTTGTAAGTTTGGTATGAGAGGTGTCCAGGTACACAGCATTATCATTGNTAACACTGATATATCTGTACTTTTGACAATAACACTGATATATCTATACTGTTGACAATAAAACTGATATATCTGTACTGTTGACAATAACACTGATATATCTGTACTGTTGACAATAACACTGATA